TTCTTTAAATTCTTAGATTTTCATTTTAACAATTTTTAACAAAAATTCATTACTCGGGCTAGGGACCCTCCGTGACAGTCAAAACACGGGTTCGGATCCGTTTACTCAAAATGATGACTGAATTCAACTAAAATCAACTTTTAAAGACAACTTATTATTTTCTCAAATTTCCACATACAGGCTTTTCGGAATCGCACCCGGACTGCGCACGCAAATCGAAGAGAAATAAAATAAGGTTTTGAAGGCCTCGGAACACCGTATTGGGTTCTAAAACGCAAGATGACCTTTTGGATCATCACAAAATCTGCACAAGAAGTGTTGAGTGTAGTATGAGTACAACCGACCCCATGTACTCTGTAAGTGCCGAGCTTAACCTCAACGAAGTGGTGACGAGGCTAAGGCAGGTTACTCACACTACAATCTGTATGTAGTATATAATAAAGGCAGAAAAAGCAAATACGGAACGAAATAAAACAGTAAACTGAAAATAATAGCTTCAGCCTTAAGGAATAAGCTAGTGACGTCCAGAAATACCAGTCCTTAGAGTTTCAAATAAAAGTATCGAAAACTAACACAGGTCAAGGAAATGGGGAAACACATAGGTTGTTGCGGGGTGCAACCCGATCCCACTATCCACAACAATAAATAATATATATGTTGCAGCGCGAACCGGATCCCACCATATAACAATATCAGTATCATAATTCACCCTTATTTCACCGAAACAATCCACCCTTATTCTACCTGTTGCGGCGTGCAACTCGATCCCACCATATCAATACCAAATACTCGATATGCGCAGTCAAATTAACAAGTCAATCCACGAAAACCTTTACGATCAATAAATACCAAACTAAACCAAAAAGGAAACCTTGTACAACATAGGAATCTACATAAGTAATACTACACAGCGAGACCAGTCCAATAATTGACAATTAGAAGGTACAAGTAAGTCAGTTTAAGCAAATAGCAGGGAATCATGAAACTATGAAAAAGATCTAACATCATTAACAAGAGAGGACATCGATTAACAGGTAGCAAACAAGCTTGATTTCAAATGAGGTAACATCCAATCAACCTCTCATAGAGGCAGAAAATAAAAAACTGGGTTATACAGCTAGTAATTAGGTAAATCTGAAAGGGGGAAAAACTACAGCAGAAAAGAATTGGGTAATGTGTAAAAAGATATTCAAAAGCAAAAGTAGAAAATATGTAGGGAAATAGAAAATTGGATTAAGAAAAGTTCCAATCAAAGATTTTTGAGGACAGAAATTTCAAGATTGAATAGAAGAGAAAAGGAATTAAGTAAAGATAAAAGAAGTAATAGAGAATAAACCCAATTAAATTTTGAGGTCTGCGTTGGTAAGTAACAACAATTTCTGGATGTAACCTCCCATAATCAAACATATCACTGCAACATTGGGATGGGTCTGCAGTAGAAGAAGAGGGCTTGAAGAAGCTGCTAATTTTCGATTGCATTTGATTTTCTCACTTGTTCAAGTGATTTCAACCTTATGGTATATTGTGATAGTGATTATGTGGGAGATATTGATGATAGAAAAAGCACAACTAATTTTGTGTTCTTCTTGGGTGATTTTGTTATTTCTTGGAGTTCAAAGAAACAGTTCATAGTTACTCTCTCGACTTGTGAAGCCGAATATGTTGCAGCAACATCATGTATCTGTCATGCTATTTGGCTGAGAAGACTATTGAAGGAGCTCAATTTACCACAAATCGAAGCTATAGAGATTTGTATTGACAACAAATTTGCATACGCACTCGCGAAAAATCCGGTTATCCTGATTGAAGCAAACATATAGATACAAGGTATCACTTCATCAGAGAATGCATTGCAGAGACGTGGGCTGGGGAGGCTTTTAAGGGAGATTTTTGAATTTCTTAATAAAGTCTTGATTTCATTAATTAGATTGGTTTATTATAGTTGTATTTATGTTATGTAATTATTTTGGCTAGATTTGGGTCATTCGGAGTCGGATATTCGTGGAAAAAGCATTGTTACGGATTAATTTGAGATTGGTTCGAGCTAAGTGGCTTGCCTAACCTTGTGTGGGGGAAATCCACTTAGGATTTGGTGTTGTTATGATATGTGAGCACCGTGTACGCGAGGTGGCGAGTGCGTACACGGGCTATTTATTGAAAAACTTGATTTTTACTGAGTAATAGCATGTTTTCCTCTTATCTGAGTATATTAGCAGGTGTAGTTAATCTATTAGCCTAGAATAGCATGTCTATGTGTCTTAATTGTTTATCTAAACTCTTTGTAGCATGTTGAGTTGATCCTACTTCTTTCTTGACTTGTACTTAGTCAAAATTGTAGGTTTTCTTGCCGTAACTGTTATCTTCATTTTGTTAGAGCTGCGTATTTACTTTGGACTACGGGACGGTATATCCCGGGAGATCCCCTGCACATTTACTTTTGAGACTACGAGGCGATTTCTCGGAAGTTCTCCCTGCACATTTACTTTTGAGACTACGAGGCGGTCCCTCGGGAGTTCTCCCTGTAAATTTACTTTTGAGACTACGAGACGGTACCTCGGGAGATCTCTTTGCACATTTATTTTGGGACTACGAGACGGTATCTCGGGTGATCCCCTGCTGTTTAACCCTGTGTACTGTATTGCTATCATTGCTGTATTTTCCTTTGTTTCATTCCAGTCTTTCATTATACTGTACATTATCCTGCTTTATTTGTTATAAACCAGTGGGCCTGACCTGACCTCGTCACTACCCGACTGAGGTTAGGCTTGGCACTTACTAGGTACCATTATGGTGTACTCATGCTACTCTTCTGCACATGTTTTCGTGTGCAGATCTTGGTACATCCTTCCAGCCTAGCTATTAGTTGTACACCTGCTGCTATTACAGAGACTTCAAGGTACATCTGTCGTGTCGGCAAACCTAGGAGTCCCCTTCTATCTTTTGTGTAGTTCTTCCTCTATTACTTCTAAACATTGATGTATAGAGCTTTTAGCAAATTCTTAGAAGCTTGTGACTTATGATGTTCCGGATCTTGGGAAATTTTGTATGTATTTTTGGGAGTTGCTACGAGGCTACGAGGCAGTCCCTCGGGAGTTCTCCCTGTATATTTACTTTTGAGACTACAGGGTGGTACCTCGGGAGATCTCTTTGCACATTTATTTTTTGTATATGCTAAGAGGCGTTTTCTATCATCTGTTCCATTACTGTACTATTAGTGGTTTAGATTTATGTTTTCAATTGTTGTTATTCCGCAATGTTAGACTTACCTAGTCGTAGAGACTAGGTGTCGTCGCGATCTCTCACGGAGGGAAGATTGGGTCGTGACAGATAGATAATTTTTTAAACCGTTAAACAATCAATGAGAGAAATGCATCCCCTAGAAAAAAAGTTGTCTAATTTATACGTTGCTGATAAACATCAGTACTCATTTTGGCGAACATGTTTAGCTCACTTTTTCCTTTGGACCGACCCATCAACTGATGAAGGGAATTCAAGAAGTTTTCTCCCTTGACAACTTTTTTTTTCCCTTTTGTATGCTTTCGAACACCATTGTAGGGTAAATCTTAATGAATATTTTCATTAAATCGAATAAACAACTCTTTGAGAATAAATAATACTAATATTTAAACACAATGATTAATACTCCCTTAAACTTCTAACCAAGACAATTATTAGAATAAATACTATTTCTAACAGTATTTTCCGAGACGCACTTTCTTTTCCATCATATACTGAGAAATTAGGATAATATCCTTCTTGGGGGAGAGACACGGAAACAGCATACCGATCACCTGCGACGGAAGAAGCGGTCTTAGGACAACGGTACAGAGTCCAGCTAATACACCTACTACAGCTGCCAATATAGCTGCCAATACTAACCTTTGTTTTTCTGGCGGCGTCATGATAAAAACACACAACATATAGCCAAGGGCGGCCCGATGAATTCTGGGGTGTAAAGCAAAATTTTATGAGGGGCCTTAATTTTTAATTTTTTATTTATTATTTATTTGAAGTCTATATTTTAGTTTTTTTATATACAAAGTTATTAATAATTTTCTTATAATCAATAACTCCTAATAAGTATTTCTCAATTGACAATATAATTTAATCCATTTAATCTTTCTTGTGCCATTGTTGTTCTTAGGTATGACTTTATCAATTTGAATTTTGAAAACTTCTTTCCGTTGAAGCAACGGTAACATGAGTTATTAACATTATTCTATAAGCAATTTAGGCATTTGGAAAAGAATTAAATCTTTTTATTTGAGTAAGTGTATTAATTAAACTGTTATCTTCTAATTGTACTATTTTCCTTAAAACTTTTAATTCAAAAAATAAATCTAAACCATCAATATCGAATTGATTATTACGTTTTAAGGAACATTCACGATTAAGATAATATTTTTTAAAATTTCCAACATCTAGTGATCTTAGTTTTTACCGCTAAATAGAAAACCAAAAATATTTTCATATGCTTCGAATTGTCCAAATCTATTTTGAAGTGAAAAAATAATCTTGTCTATTATGTATAAAAGTAATCAACTCTAAAGGACTCTTTGAAAGATTTTGAGATTTCATTATCAATATTTGTATCAAATTGTTACTTCCCATATATCACACGTTTCTTACGAAATTCGGGTTCGATATTCATTTCAAGTGCAATTTTCTTGGTAGAAAGAAATTAAACTTTTTCACTATACACAACTCTTTTTTAAACTTATACATAGGCTATTAGGTATAACAAAAAAATGGACCCCCACAAATACGGGACCTAAAGCGGTTGCTTTATTTGCTTTATGGAAGGGTTGCTTTATGGAAGGTACTAGTGACGATTGTGCCCGGGCCCAATAACAGTAAAGTTTTCGTATGTCCTCTATGATTATTTGAAGCAGCAGATTCAAAAGAAGTTGCACGGGGCAGTTTAGAGCTAAAGCATCAATTTCCTCAGCAATTATGCTTGCTACCTCATTTTCCCAGAAGTATAATTGTAAATCTAAAAGTGATTTAACCCTTCAGTAGTACTCAAAAAATAAAATATGTTGCTCTGACAGAAAGCAAGAAGTTATATTGATCCCAACAGTGGTCAGTAGTAATGCAAACAGAAGCAGGGATAGGATCTATCCATTGACAAGAATCTAAACTAAAATCCTTATAACTTGTTACAAAATGGTGCACTTATCCACTTTATATCCATTTTTTTCCAACTGAGAGGCCAATGTACGTTATCTGCATTCCACGTGCTAGAAAATACGAAGTTGATAAACTCCATATTCTTGAATTAGCTGTACATAGAACAGATACAACAATAGGTAAATTGTCCAGCACGATTAGGATGTGTAGCAATGTAGATTAGAATATTTAGCAATCGGAATAACTAAATTAACATATTCTGTTTCTCATAGGATGAAAAGGCTAAAGTTGGTAGGTTGACAACTTCAGATTAACAACAATCCTACATGAAAAGAACACTTTACTACAGGGACACTTATTAGTTTACATCATTGTTGTCGAATGAGACCGTTTGATCTCCCTATGTTCACATAACTTACAAGGAAAAATCTTAGAACCTCATATAAGCAATTCAGAAACTTTCGTTGCAATCTAAAAAGAAAGAAAAAAATTAACTTTAAGCACACATAACATTCCAAGCAAATCTGAACATTCAACTATGAAGTTGCTGGTTTGAAACAATCAAGCGACCTTTCTATTTGTTAGGATATTTTAGGCAAATCCGTGTACACCGCCATGACAGAACTAAACAAAGGTTAATGATTTTCTAAAAGATTCAATATGCTAAGCCTGCTGGAACAGAAGTGTAGAATCTAATGACTGAAACAACTAAAAGAGACATCCCTGAAATGATGAACTTTGAAAAAGAAATAAAATATAACGAAAAACAAAAGGAAAAATAGAACATGATCTGGTGCAATTTACTGAAATAGAAGTCAGATATATATCTGCTTGTTTAAGAATAGCTAATGCGAAAGATACACATTACAAGCTTCATTATGTTCGTATGACACCATTAAATTTTAAGTAATTGAATTACTGCGAAGAATGAAACTAACCTGAATGAAATATAGCCTGACTGGTTAGCAAATGTGATAATACATTTTGTATCAGGCTTGGTTACTGGAAAGGAATGCTTTAGGATGTCAGTTGTCCTATCACGAAGCTGCATGATAAAAATACTCCGGGTTAATATAGAACATTATATAAGATGCGGCACTAAATATACAAAGACAACTTTGAGGACATCAATCTTTGAATGGGTAGTAAAGATATACCATAAAAATACTAATTGTTCTGTAAAGGTATTCATGAATTCTTTTGTTTCTTCTAGCAGTTGTACCCATTCATAGCAACGTAAAAAAAAGACAATGACTATCATATTAAACAGACATTGGAAAAGTAAATATACTAATTGCTACATCTATTCTTTTAAACCTAAATTCCCACAAAACAGCGACAAAATGAGCTGAAGAACATACCTGAACAAATTTAAGCACATGCCGTAAGATTTCAACCATAAGAAGTTCTGTCTTTGGGATTTTTTTGTTGTTGAAGGTCAGTGGAGGAGGCAAACATGATAAAACGAACTGAAATCACATGAATTTTTGGTTAATAAGCTAAGGAAAAAGAGAAAGGTCTACAAATAACTATAAATTGAGATTGCCATTATCAGCTCACATATACTTGTTCTTGATATAGACGGAATGACAGCTCACTGATGCACTTCATAAAATTTGAAGCTTTACTGTTCCTGATGGTGAGTTAGTATTTGTTAAGGTTTCCATAGTCATTTTCAGCTGCAATGTATACTAAAGCTCTTCAATTTCAATTCTCCGTCCTCCTATTGCTATCAGAAAAGTGGTGATCTACAAGAGGAAAACAGAGAAAATCAAAAATCAAGAATAAGCCTGTAAGAAACCAAAAAATAGATAGAGTAAAATTAATGAAAGAATATAAGTTTCTATTAGAAAGGCAAAGAAGGTTAAGCGTCGGACCTGAGTGATGGATCTTTCTCTTGCCACTATTAACATAGTTGTTTTGAGCCCTAAGAGAAGAGCATTGATACATTGTCGTTGACTACCAGGTAATAGGTAATCAGGTTGTTACAACTGGCTCCTTTTTTCAAATCTCAGTACATGGACACTTTAGCCTTTGTTATCCAACTTTCACTTGCTTGTGGCAGAGTTTCAACCTGCCTTCCATATAAAAAACCTTAGAGCTCACAAGCTCGTCTATCTGGTAGTTAAGTTGTCTCATGGCCCTTAATAGTATATTCCATAGAGAGTGTAGCAGCATCTCATAACTGAGTAGGCATATTAAACAAAGGCAGTTTAATATAACTGCAATATGAAGGTGGAGCATTTAGTAATAGCATATTAGAAAATATTGAACAGTTATCCATATCGTGAACGTAGCAGTGTGAGAATTTTTTTAAACTCATATACTTATCTTCTGCAATTATCAGTAGGAGAATGTTTGAAAATTTTAAGAAACTTAAATTTGTTGTTTATTGGGTAATAAACACATGAATATTAAGTTCCACTCACTTCAATGGGGGTTTTGTATTTTTTATATTAGCTCTACAACATCAGCAAGAACATTTGTGCAAGCAACATAGACAATGCACTCTCTAGTATCAGAACTATAACTTTTTTCTTTTAATAAGTACTATATAAAACAATATCTTATTATAATCATTTATGAGATGTGAAGGTACAAGAAAATGCCATGCATTTATGAATGATAGCAAGAAAAGCTCAGGATGGATGGACAATATGCTACTTGCAGATTAGGAAATTAATTTACCTTTTCAACAACTTCATATCCAACTTTGAGCCTCACATCTTGGTCTTTTTCACATTCATGATGTTCCAAGTAAATTCAGCAGCAACTCTTGATTTTTTCTGGAAGTTTAGAAATACACAAAGTATGAAGGTCCCAGTGAGACTGTTACTTCAAGGATTTAAGCAACATGGCAAATGCCAAGATAAATAAAAATATCAACCAACATGCCGAGTTCCAAGAAAAAATCAGAATATCAATCAACTATGCCTCAATCCTAAGCTAGTTGGGTTTAGCTACATGGATCTTCTATATCTATGTTTGCATTTACTAAAATATAAGAGCAAGTTATGAGCATACAAAATATGTGTATCACATAGTTTATTCAAGGGTAACAAAATCTTAGTGCACAAACCTGTTCTCAAGGTAGAAGATGAGGCTCCTGTTAGAGTAGCTCTCTGCCTCGCTAATTCACTATTCAATTGGTAGCAAGGTGATATTTCAGTGGACTCACTGGTTGGATTCTTCATTCTAGAACGAAGATATGTCGTTCGGCGCTCCGGTAAATTTAGTTCTCTTTTTTCAGCCGACCTCGCCCTATACATTTCGCGACGTCTTGTTTAATTTGGATGCCTCTTTCTTCAGAGCATTGACGTTTCCCTTTTTGTTTCCAGCATGTTGAATCCACAGGTTTTTTAAAATTTGACATCTTTGGTCTGTCTGTCGGCAAGCAGGGATGTCGACGGAGTGCTGTCGGTTTCACTACTTCTTCGAAGGGAAAAAACATTGAACACAATGATAATTAAATACAAACAAATAGAGTTTTTGAGAAACCTTAGATAAATCAAAGGACAATACAAATCAGAAACTTTTAAAAATAGATAAAGCAGAAAAGAAAGACAAACAGTGGAAAAGGGAAATATCCCCAAAATAAGAGTTCATACCGATAAATAAATAAGGGGCCTGCTGACTAATAAAATAAAAGAGCTTCAGAAGAAGGAACCACGGTTGAAGAATGAAGCAGCGCTGGGTGTTTAGAAAATGGAAAAGATAAAGATTTTGTTAGTAGATAAACAATGATTGGAGAAGAAGCACAGTAGGGAAAGATTAATTCAAGTTCAGGCTTAGCAATGGGAAAAAGCCGAAGAAATTAGGTTTAAACTCCAATTTAACAGCTCAAAATTAGGTAAAACATATAGATTTGCCAAGTAAAAAATTAGGTAAAGCATATAAAAAGAAGAATGCAGAGCAACACCCATAAATCACAGCAGTTGTAAACATTTTTCCGAATAAATAACCTGTACAATAAAATATAAAATAAAATCCAAGAACAACAAACTAACCAATTGAGATGTGGGAACAAAGAGGATGTACACTGGGAGAGCAGAGCAGATTAATCACTTTAAGATACAAAGAAATCTGGAAAAAACAGAGGAAGAAGAAACCCCAATAATAAGCAGTGGCTGTAGAGGTAAATGTGCAGGTGTAATGTTGTTAATATCAGGGGAAGATGTAAAATAAGCTTTGAAAATGCCCCAGAATTTCCATTATTTACAAATTTCTCTGATGGCAATGAAGGTAAACAAATTGAAAAATAGGGGCAAAAATATAAAAGCTTAAGCTGTCGACAGACACGCGTCTGTGTCAGCTGAACATTAGCACTTCTAATATAGTACTAGCTAATCTTGCCCATACTTCGCATGGGCCTAACAACTTGCAGTCTAGATGATTTTGTTCATGCGCTAACAATTTTCTTCTAACTTGCGTCTGCAACCTTGAAGCTTTGGATTAATTGAGGCAATAATAGCACAAGAGTGTGGCCTTAATATACTGAACCATAAACCAAACCAATACAACAACAAACAGAAGACAAAATAAGATACAACATGATTTGTTTTATCAATTGAATCATGTCTACAAAAAAGAATGAACGGAAGGATTAAATTCACCATTACTGATGGAAAGAGGAGCATTTCATAATACAGAAGCCACTCAAGAATGGAATCTTGTTGAAATAGATTATCTCATTCATAAAAACTTTGTGGACTCAAATTGATTTTATTAGATGTCCACTTTAAAGGAATTGCCTGATTCTCCTTGTTCCTTTGTGTTCGGGCATCAAGACAGCGCCATGATTTGTTCTCTAGCTTTGGTACTTCTGATTGAAGAGTTGATGACATTCCAGCATTTGTATCTTTGTAAATGGATGGCAGGCTCTCTTGAGCTTTGCAAAATAGATAAGAATGAGCTACTGTTAAGCAGCATACATGAATTTTTAACGGTTTATATAATTCTACTAATTAGCTCCAATTTTAAGTGTATCTGTAATTGCTATGATTTTTTGAAAGTAAGAGAAGTCCATCCAGATGCCTGACAATAAGGTTTCTTTAGTTCTCAATCACATCCAATCCAATCCAATCAAATATCATAGTCAAAACTAATCTGCTCCTGCTTTTACAATTTGACATTTAAATATCCGGAAAGAACAAGAGCTTCTTTAGCCAAGTCTAATCAAAAGTATGGCAAATGATTTCCAATAAATGGTCTGTTCCAAGCTACTGTTATCTTCAAGTCCACTTAGGTGATATTAGATATGGATCAAGCCAATTTTTTTCTTAATTTATTGACTTGCTCGGGAAAACGTGGAACTCAAAGTAGAAGCACAAAAAGGATACCAGTATGAAACAAAATATAATCTTCAAAAATTTAACACATGTAAAAGTTAAATCACTTTGAGTTCTTTCATAAGAAGTTTCGACAAAAAGATAATAATATATTTAAGTGCCTCATGCTATAAGATTCTTATAGGTGTTTCATGTGATAACACGCCCTTTGAATAGCATACTTACTCTTATACTACAGTCAGGTAAAATAAATTATTGCATTACCTATTCATGCATATAACAGGCTTTCTATGCATTTAAGAACTTAGGCATCTTCTATTTGAAGCGTAATCCTTTTGGTGTATATACTAATCAAACTTTTTCTTTCATTAAATGAAAACAAACCAAAGTGCTATATAATCTAAAACCAAATATCATTTTAAAAGACAGACAAATATCACCGCAGAATTTCTCCTCTATTGCCGGTTCAACCAGGCAAAGATACTCTCTTGAGAACCGAACGGCAATTCCTGCATAGAACATAACATCATAGTCATCTATAGATGTTATTATTATACATATAAAACAGTGATCATTAGCACCTGCAAAGATGAACTTACTGCAAGTTAGAAATCTGGAGGAGTATCTAATTCCAAATTATCCAACTCCGAAATTCCACAGGTTGTGTTACCATCTCCTTGTGATAAATGGCTAGTGTAATGAGTGTAGTCAGTAGAAGAGCCAAGATTATGTCCAAAACCATCAAGATAAAAAGCAAAAAGTTCATCACACAACAGAGAATTATCAACATCATTTGTGTCAGCTCCTTGTGATTCTCCAACCAAAGTCGGGATGAACTCATCAATAAATTTGTGTTGCTCGGAATTTTCCACCTCGCACTTTTCTTCCAAATAGTCCAAGAGCTCCACATCAGATGGTTAAACATCACACCAACAGGTAGATTAGGCCATCCCTGAGAAACATGAATCAGTAAGCAGCAAAATGTTAAAGCAAATTTGAAGAACTAATTTATGAATTATGATACATGTATTTGCTGGCCAAATTTTGAGCTGAGGGAAAAAGGAACACACTTTACTGCAGGTACACTTACCTAATCATGGGAAGGAAAAGCAGGATCCTTCTTAACTTGTCTTGCAAAATACAAACTAAAGACAAACTTCACCTATGAAACCAGTATAAACAAGATAGCGAAAGAACTTCATGTCAATCCCGATTCGAAATAACTATTTCAATCCATGAGAACTCTGACTGTCCCAAAAAGAAAAACCCAATGAGCCCCCCCCCCCCCTAAAAAAAAAAATAACACCTGCAAATAAAAAGCCCTAATTTCTAATCCAAATCCAATAGAGAAATAGAACAAGGTCAGTCGCACTTCTTCTGTAATACGCAAACACCTAGCCAATGGACAAAAAATTACGATTACCTTGATGGAACAAAGCTAAAGCAGCAAATAACCACAGTCGAAACCTCAATTTCTCTTGTCAAAAGGATTGCAAAATTCACAGAAGAGTCGACTTGTAAAAGGGTAGTAATGTAGAAAGCCTCACCAGCACTATTGATATTGGCAGAAGGAGAATTGATGCACTAAAATCGAGAAATAAAGCAAAAAATAGGGAGGCAGGGGGAAGAGACAACAGAGAGTTTCCGTAGAAGAAGTTAAAAAATCTCCGTAAGTTAGCATTTTCTGTGCGTTGTTATCTCACAGACAGCGTAGTCAGCCAACTTTAGCTACGTGTTGCTGTACAGAAATGCAGGGAAATTTCTCGTAGCACAAAAGGTGAATGAAAATACCTAACTGCCCTCATGTAGGCAAGCAGAGATGTCGACGGTCTCCTGCCTACTTTTGGGCTCTTCTATATAGTAGAATATAAGTATAAAAAAAGAGAAGTAAGTGAACGTAGAACAATGGAGCTCTGGTAGCGCCTGCGAGGCATCAGCAGGAGAGTCACATATAAAGAACTAACAAATGTAATCGAGTTCACGATTAAAAACGGATAAAAGAAGAAATCTTTATAGCCGAAGAAGCGAGCATGTTTCACGGCGGTGATTGGCGGAGGGGGAGGTGAAGGAGAGTTGCTATTAATGTTATTGTCGTTTTGGCTAAGCCAACCTCCACCAGGGGGGCTAAGAACGGCTTGATAAGTTGCTGTTACAATCAATACAGTCACTACTAGATACGCATTTCGAGTGTCGGCCTTAATTCCTTCGTCAAAATCCACATGCGTGCCTCCGCTAGCCTTCTACATTTGGTCCTTTTGTTTGAGGTCAGAATGTCTGCCATGGACATGAGATTAGGAAGCTCTGACGACTCCAGAGCACCGGCTCGTTGTAACATTTCTTGAATTTCAGCATCTTCTTGATCATGTGATGTCGGATTTTGTGCAGATTCTCGAATTGAGGTACCAACGATATCAAGAGCTGTCTGATTTTCTTGATTTTTGTCATGAAGGTCAACTTTCTCTTTTATTAATGAGAAATGCATAAATACCCCATTCAACTTGTCCTAAAAAGTCATTTACAAATCTAAACTTTATGGCGTCCTAACACCCCACTATTTTTTAAGGAACTGTATTTATTTACTCCATCCTTATGCCTGGCCCAATTATAATAACGTAAGTGGAAAACACGCGCTTTTAAAATGAAGCCATGTAATTAAATCCTTCCGTAAATAAACATAAACATAACATTTTACAAACAAAACTCATTAACCATTAACCCCCCTCAGTGAAAAATTCCCAAAATTGAAGAACCCTACCCACCCTCAAAGATTCGATTAGCCTCTCCAAAATCAATTTGCCTGACCAAAATCGAACGGATCTGTTGCAAAATCCTTCGATTTCGTTCTTCCTGGTACTTTCCGTTTGTTCTTAATTGTTTCATTTGACGATTTGGTTGAAGACCCGTTCGAAGTTGAAGGTCTCTGAAGAATCAAGTGCAAACGGTATATTTGTTTAGTTTGGAGGTAAACACATCAACCCTAGCCTTTTCTATCATCAACCCTAAATGTTATCTCTTTTTTAGTTTGTTTAATATCATCCATATCTAGGGTTCTGAACTTGCTGCAAATTTCTTCACTGTAATGTTGTCAATGTAAAATCGAGGAACTGAAATACAATTTTTAAGGTGTAATAATAATCAATTTTCAGTTTTATTCTTGTTGCATGTATTCTGACTTCATGTGTAGGGGTCTAATAGTAATTACACAATTTAATTAGTTGATTTTCTACTATATTCAGGTATTTCAATATCTTTTGTACTTGTTATACTAAGGTTTTTCCATGGTGGAAAAATCTCCATAGATAAGTTACATTCATTTTCAGTGGAGGGTTATGTTGGTGGGATGATTACTGATTGTGTTGATGTCGATGTTGATAGGTTCTCATATTTTGAGTTTTTTGGTTATGTAAAAGAGTTTGGTTACAATAGTTCTTCTACTGTTATTTATGTTAGACCACCTAATTGTCCTGCTTTAGTAGTAATTAAGGTTGATAGGGACCTTATGGGTATTTGTCAAGATTTAAAAAGTGGGGATATTTTGGAGGTTTATGTAGATCACATGGTTGAAGAAGCTGTAGTGGTCCCCCCTCTATTAGAATATGCCAGCCAAGTTTTGGATGATAGTAATGTTACTTTTGAGAAGGAATCTGGTCAAGATTTGGGGGGCTGTGAGGGTTTGGGAACTTCTGAAAAGGCTTCCAATACTGCTAAAAATAGTGCTAATAATAGTGTGCCCACAGCTGTTACTACTGATGATAGTTCAAACTCCTCATCTGAATCAAACTCATCTGAATCTAGTAGCAGCACTGATAACAGCTCAGATTCAGACCATGAGGAGTTGTTTGAAGAAGGAGAAGCTGATTATAGCAGTGATA